TTCTGTCAGAGGTTTTAGAGGTGCTTTGACCATCTAATGTTGAATCTGAACAGATTTCTTGAACTCTTGATTTCTTAGAAAACAACAAAGACTGTAACAATACTGTGCAGTATTTTTGAATTATCCATTGAGTGCTGTGTTTGTACGTTAGGAAACATTATTATACATTTTATGCTGAAGTGAACATGACTTCACTGTATTTTATTTCACTTTGATCTTACACTGCATACCACTTTTGTACACTGGATCGTACAGGTGACTCTGAAGAACTTGCTGTATGTTCACGTCAAAATGCTGTGAAGCAACACATACAGCGTGTGTGACCTACAAAATCGTGTCTCATTTTAATGGGAGTCTCCGTCTTTAGACTTGCAAATCATCAAAACCAGCTCCAGGGATTGGCTGTTACAAGCTGTTCCAACATTTACCATAATTCATCACTAGATTAGTCATTTTCCTTTTGATTTATCTTAATGAATCTGGTGAGGTGCCTTTTCAATTTACCCAATCTGGTTGAATTTAGACTATTGGCACAGTGACATTGCAATAGAATGTTGACACCAATAGTCCCTAGAGAATGAACCTATTGTCTTTGGAGATCCCCAGGTTTCCATCTATTGTAGTTTCACTGGCAGGTCAAGTGATGACTTAATCATCCATGGATTGCATAAAACAAATGTGGCTCTGAGAGTAATGATGTAAATGGTAATGAAATCTTACATTAACACCTCTCTGCAGCTTCTGTTTTCAACATTACATTCCTTTTGTTAATGCCATATTTAATGCCATACCAACATCCAGTTTACTGGGAGTTAGGCCTAAGTGTACTTAGGCCTATATTAACTTTAAGCATAAATTCCTTTCATTTCATCTTTATCACTTTGAGAATATAGGTCATCCAATACACAATTAATATTTGTGAAATGTCCTTCAGATTAATTTACTAAGAATTAATCATAAAGCTCTTGCAGGGCTGCACCTACCCTTTTTTATTTTTTCATTTATTAATTTGTTTATTTTTTATCAATTGTTCAGGCCATTATGTTTTTAAGTAATCAAGTGATATTCTACAGATGCTCTGCAACGTCAGTCTGTTTCTTCTAGATTCCGTCTTTTCTGCAGGTGATTGTTTTTTTCTTTTTGTTTGCTTCTGTCACTTTGTTGTGTCTTTGTTTTCCTGCTTGCTCCATTGGGTAACTGGTGCAGTCACACCTTCAGTTATCAGCTTCCATGACATACATGTACCCAGGTAGACATCTCTTATTATGGGTAGCAAGCACATGTCTATTATGTCAACACGCCAAATGTTCGCCACTGACCATGCTGAGTCTGTTTGACTTGTAAGAAGAACAGTGACATAAACCTTCTATTCATTTTGCCAGTAATTAACAGGATCTGCGTAATTTAACTAGAATCTTGAAATCAGCATTATTACTGTTGTCAGAACTGTCACTGTCTGAATAGCCTCCCCTAACTGCCCTCAGCACTTCACTCTCTCTTAAATATTAGAATGCAAATGGAACTGAGCTATTTCCAGTCGAAGCCAACGAAAAAGGGAAAAAAAATCCTTTTAAAAAAGGTTCAGTGTTTGAATTGAAGGGCCGATTGAAAAGAATAAAGGAGGTTTTTTTTCTCATTCTTTTTATTACCATGCAGTTGCACTCCTAACAGGGCGAGGGCTTTTCAGAAGTGCGTTTGATATACATGAGTAAACACACATTTCCCATGCTAATTTTCTGCGCTGAGTTTCATCTCCAACCCGATGAGTGCAGGAATAGTAAACTGTTGACCTGGTGACTCCAGATGCCAGACAGGGCCTCTTCCCTGATTGGACTCCACGGTGCTTCAATCAGCTTAATTGGCCAAGACTATAGTATCAGTGAGAGGAGAGAAATGAGAGGGGAACGCTGGAATTGGAATGAAATGGAGAGCCGGCTCTTGCACGCCTCATTATTTGTTGATTGACATGTGTGCAGGGGGTGGAGGGGGGTGGGTGGTGAACTGCCAGATCTCAGACGACAAACAAAACAAGCTTAATGTAGCTCTGACTTTGGGTACTATTTAGGATTTTGTTTATTAATTTTTAAAACTTCATACTGATGGCAGCAGATACATTTTGTGCAGTCAGCATATATTAAAACCAAATTAGTTTTGTAGATGCAGTTTGAGTTTATGGGCACCCAAGGCAGGTGAAGGAGCCGAGTATAATTTCAGCAGTTAAGTAATTGGCTGTTAAAATGTAAATTTAAATGCAATTTAATCTTTATTCATATGACATGTCAGCAAAAGTGCATTCATGCATTTTCATAAGTGTTTTTAAAAGTGAATCTGCTTTGGAGCATTTTTTAATTACTAAAAAAAAAAGGCAATTGTTTTGGATTTGCAGCACTACTTTTGTCAGCACGCATGAGCAAGGGGTGCACTGAAATAGATTATGTCAGCAAAGGCAGGAAAATAAAGTAAAATAACTTCTGAGTCCAGCAACAACACATAACTAAAAATCCAGATGTGCAATGTGACCCTGATCATTGTTAGAATATTTGCCTGTTTGTCTGAAACAGGCATAGCTGCAGACTAAAATGCCTCACTGGTGCCACACTTGCTTAAGGTACATTTCCACCTATGTAGAACCTATTCTAAATTCAAACCATTCTGCACCCTTCCACCCAAAAATGTCTTTTTTAGTACAGAAAAACACTGGAATCTGTGGTTACGCACCTTTTACATAACAGTTATCTTGCACAATACCCATAGCTGGCTCAGGTAATTCCAGCAGACTGAAGTAAATATTTGAAATGCTAAACTGTAATCAATATGGGGTCTGCCATAGATGGCTCAGATGGAATTGCCAGATTTGGTGGTGCCTCTTCTGTTTTGTGGAGTAACATAAAAGTTAGAACGTACTTTACCCTCAAAATGTTCACTTATATGATCACATGTAAGTGTATATATACTGAATAGGGGGGAAAAGAGACTTATATGTGAGAATATGTGCAACATTGTTTAATGTGGTGGCCAATAAAGCAATAATTACACCCACTGCAGTTATACTGCAGGCTGTAACTTGCAGTGCTGGCATTCTAAACTTAACTATGTCCATTGAGAAGGTTTTTCAGTTCTAATTCAAGCATGTAGGACTGCCTCGTGCTCTATGTGGCAACCTGCTGTCTTGTGTTTTGTGGTGTGCAGGATGACTTCAATAAAATGCACGCATGCTGCATCATTGGCATAAGTATGGTTTATTGGTAGCCTGCTTTTTTACTGGAGAACATTTTCTGCTTTCAATCTTATGAAAGGTGTCTCCTCTTCAGCGATGTAAAAAATGCCATGTTGAATTTGACTCACAGCTTGGCTTTCTCTCCTACAAGACTTACCTCTCCTTACACAAAACTCTCTTGGGGAGAGGAGTCATTCTGGGCCAGTGTAAAAGTCCCTACAGAGCTTGTACCACATGCTGTCTTTTTGGAGTTTTACAGTTGCATGCTTAGAGTTTAGAGGTTTTGCAAACTTTGTGTTGCAGCACTGACATTCTGCACAATTTACATACAGCATTTTTTTTGTCTTTATTTTATCTCAGCTGAGGAAACTCAGGACTCTGCAAACTCGTCACGTCTAAATACAGACTGTGTTTTCTAGCAGTCTCACCAGTTACCTGTGCCTCCCCACCTTACTCTGCATCATTTTGTGGCTTATTGACTGCAACTGCAGCACTTTTAGATGAGCTTGGAGCAAAGTGAGACACAACAGGACATTTTGTCACTGCCTATTTCACTGACTTTAGCCTAGTCAGTGCTAGCTGTTGATATCGATGCAACTGTGCAAATGTTGCTGTGATACCATTGCTGAGTAGTTGCCTGTTGCATGAAAAAGTCATTGACTTTATTGCATGTAAGGCCTTTCAATTACACATGCACATTATCGTCAACTATGGATAGTAGGTTTTAGGAAAAGATTTCAGTTTTTCAGCAATAAAGATAGAAGGAGCTATTAATAAAAGTCAACATTACATGACAGTAGCTAGTGGACCTGTAGCATTCAGTACTATCATATGATCCAGTACGATCATTACAACTAACTGTGGAGCTACAACATATAAAAGCCAGCTAACAAAAACGCCAATATTCAACCCAACAGGACAACAGTTTTGCGGTTTTTGGTGCATAGACAGGATGTAGTGACACAAATGATTTAGTGAGAGGTGGATAGAGACTTTCTCGGTCGAAGTTCACTTATTTTCTTACCACACCGCCTTCCTATTCCCTGCTGTCATTAATCCTCTCTTTCTTTATACAGTCAATTTGCCACCCTTTACAGAAATGAAAACGAGGCAGCTGCCCCACCCTGCTCTGTATGTTTGCTGTGGTTTCAGCAACATCGGTCACATCTCTGCACATTTCTGCTGTCACCTCTGTTCTTTTCTTGTCTTTCTGAAATACTGCCATTGTACAAAACAAACCATTCCATACCCCATGCAAAATTGATATGGCATATCATAAGCCATAAATGATACTGAAAATGTCATTTTGAAGAAGGACTGGACAGTTTAATTTACCACTTATTTTCACTTGGACCAGTCAGTGCAGCCGTTCATAGAAGTGGAAGAAATGATGGCTGAGTGGTGGCTCTGTATTGATTTTGCTGTGTGTTATGTTGTGTGTGTTTATGTGGCCGAGGTGGCATTCCATTCCACACAAAAAAAAATTAATAACACACAGGGTTCATGCCTGTTCTCATTTAGACTGGAGGGAAGTCAAAGCACCACTTTAGTGATGAATAGATTTGTGCAACCCTCTCTGCACTCAAACCCTGCTCAGTTCAATGTGCCACAGCAGAGTGATGGAGACTTAGGCAGTGACAAATGGAAGGGTAGTTTTAAAGGTGTGATGGAAAAATGTACTACTTTTTCACTGTGTCTTCACAATATTTGTCCAAAGAGATACGAGGTATGTCCAAATTAATTACCTCATTTCATGTTTTTCTGCTCTTTTGTCGTTTTCCAGCTCTTCCTGTTCCAGTTGCTGAGAGGCCTGTCCTACATCCATCAGAGGTACATCCTTCATCGTGACCTGAAACCACAAAACCTGCTCATCAGCGACACTGGAGAGCTCAAACTTGCTGACTTTGGTGAGTAGGCCCGACATTTAAGATCTTATTTTTGTGCATCTGTTCGATGTAAGACTGCGTATCCAAATGTTGAAGTAATGCTGAATATCCCCACCGTCACTGTGCACCAGTTCTTATGTGTGACATGGGCTTGTAAACTGAGGAACAGAAAGTCTAGTAAGGGTCTGTATATTTAACTATTCAGCACTATTTAACACAAGGACTCTGAACAGGCAGCCCTGTCTTCTTGCAGCTTTTTAAGTATTTTCATGGAAACTGACAGGAGAGTTTCACCATCACCAGCTGTTTCGATGGACCAACTCAGGATATTTACCTTGCAATCGTAGTTGGAATCATGCATTGATTCAGTCAGATCTTGTCAAGGAAAAGTCACTGGAAATTGATCCAACACCAAAATGACAGAGCTGCTGTCTGTTTTTACAGAGGATGAGTTAAACAGGCAGTTTAACCAGTCTGTAAAGATCTCATACATTTCAAGTAGCTTCTTGTACTGTCTATTCTCGACTGTTAGATGCTAAATACTAAAAAAAAGTCACACCCTGTTACCTTTATTCTGATCACCTTTGAATAGCAGGCAAGTTGTAAAAGACAGCAAGCTAGACAGATCACATGAGGTCCAGCATGTAGTCTGCTTTGCTCTTGAACTGAGATCTGTTATTTTGGCCCCAGCATGTTGGTGGCTTTGGATGATCTGTTGATCCATCCATCTGTCCATGACTTTGGCCAAGATCATAATAGCTTGACTACGAGTTCACCAGTTGACCATTTCTGTCCTTGAACCTTCATGGAATTCCAGAATTTTCATTTGTACAGACAGACATATTGGAAATGAAACGTTACTGACTACATTCTATGTTAGTGAGTGTGCGTGCATGTGTGTGTTTCTGCATGTGTGTGTGTTCCTGAAGTGGCACCATATGGCTTGGATCCATGTTCAGTAAACACTGCCTACATGGACTGTCTGGCATCCTGGGGGGCAGACAGACCGACAGTCCAACCTTCTGTGTTCCCCATTCATCCACCCATCCATCCACCCATCCATTCATCCATCCATCCATCCATCCATCCATCCATCCATCCATCCATTTGGTCCATCACCTACCTTTCTCCTATCCAGCCTTTTTCTAACCCCTTCAAACCCTTTTGTCTCTTCTACCCATCCATTTTTCCACCCTCCTGCCCCTCCATCCCTCTGCCCAGACAGATGGGGGAAGGAGGAGGGTGGCAGCTTCATCAATAATGCAAACCTTGTATTAGCGCAAAAACATTACTGCAAGGGAAATGAGAAGAAGAAAAATAATGGACAAAATACCAAATGAGCAAGAATGAAAATCCCTGGCCTATTAGTCTGTCGCTGGAGCTAGAGCTCATCAACAAACATGCACAAAACACAGAATCAGCCTTTGCCTGAGGGATGCCAGATGAGGAAGGTGAAGGCTGTTCAAGTCTATGTGTGTGTGTGTGTGTGTGTGTGTGTGACTTTGTGTGGCCGCCAGGGCTCCCTGTGGTCCCTGGCTTTGGCAGCAGGAATACTAACGGCCGACAGCTGAGGCCTGTGGTGCTGGTTGGGGTAAATGGGAGCCATGGAGGCAGAGTGTCAACAAAGAAGGAACTGAGAGGTACAATAAGAGGTGGCAGAGCACTCAGCGAGGATGAGTTGGTGATTCAGGGGACAAAAAGGAATAGATAAGGATTAGCAGAAATTTTTTTTTTTAAAAGTTGAAAAGTGGGTTAAGATGACAAATGTCAGCTGTGGACTGTATTAGAATAAATACAACTTAGTCCTTTCAATCCTTAATTTTCTTTCTTCCTTTGATGCTCATCTGTAATTTTGCCTCAGCAGTGGCTCATTCATGAGTTTGTCCATCCAACTCTGCAGTTCAGAAAAGATATTGCAACTGCTACTTTCCACACTGACGGCATGGTAGTGGTTACCACTGTCACCTCACAGCACCAAGGCTCTGATTTCAAATCTGCTGGTCAGCTGGGTCCTTTCTGTGTGGAATTTGCATGTTATACTTATCATTGGATTGCCTGTGTGGGTTTTCTCTGCGTTCTCCAGCTTCCTCCACCAAGCCAAACACATTTAGGTGATTTAGACGCGCGTCTAGAGAGAAAGTTGAAAAATCTGAACTTTTGCGATCTGACGCGCGGCGATGGCCAATCAGCGTTGAAATTCTCTGGTGAAGTCAACAACATGATTCATTCATTTTTTGCAACTACACTGTGAATTCTGGTGTGAATTCGCATCTGATGATTTACATGTAAAGTCAATGTGAAGACGCGATTAGACGCGAGTAAACGTCACCAGACGCGAATTCACAGAAATTTAGGTGTCACAATAGTTGTGAACATGCATGTCCATCCTGTGTCAGGACTGGCTTCTTAACTGGCGACCTGACCTCTTACCCAATCAAGCCAGCTAGGACAAACTCCAGCCTCTACAACCCATTCATGGACGGATGGATAGATGGGTAGTTGTCACAATACCATGGGATCTGATTGTCGATATTCCGTATTCCAAGACAATAATTATTCAAGAGTAGCACCACACTCAAAGAAAAGTGAAGCACTGATGCTTAAGGGTCAAATGATCCAACTCTATTGAAAATCTGGCAACACTTGTGAAAGTGTAAAAGCCCTGAAATGCATTTAGCCATGTTCCCACTGTTAGCCCAACCCCCACCCCCACCCTATGCTTTCGGGCATTAATGTTTTGTATTCTTGAATGCATAAATCATATAGTAGAACAGCTGTGGCTTTTTGATACCAGGTGACTAATTTATCTCATCTTCACAATACTTTTAATTAGTGTCAAAACAAAGAGAATGCAGGGCTCAGAGAACCTTTTTGCTCCTTGGGAAGTGCCTGGACATTAGTCTCTAAGGCTAAAAGCTCTGGAAGTTTTAGTGAATTATCTAGATAACTATATACAATACATTTGCAAATGTCACAATGATGAGAAAATGAGCAAAGAAACATTTTGTAAAACATGAATGCTTATTCTTATTCTCATGCCTACAAACGTTTCTTGCCTGTTCAGTGTACCTGCATTATGAGAGGTGCTGATCCAACTGTGAAGATACAGTAATGTGCGTAGGAGAAGAGTAGCTGAACATGATCACCTTATTTACTGTATCTTATTGTTGTTTTCTCCCACGCATATTATCTGCATGTAGTAGTATCTGACTGAGCAGGATACACACAATCAGGGAGCAATGATTTCTCATCAGCCACAGTGGCCAGATCGCCGTATCCCTGCTGCTGACTGGGGAGTTGATCCAGATGCCCCCCTCTGCTCCATCGTGAGTTTGCTCACTTTTTAATGAGCTGCACAAACAACCACCACATAAATGAGGCTTTGAGAAGCCCACATGTTTCACATCAAGGACACAACTAATTGAAGCCAACGAAGCAGTGTGTGGGGAGTGATTTGTATTGTTTGTGTAGAAGCTGTGTGGACCGTTTTCCCTTCTTTTCGGTCAGAGCACACACACATATTGTGCACCTTCAAGTAATTAATCGAATATAAACCTGCTATAGTGTGAACAAAGAACGTCTACTAACCAGTATTACTCACACTAAGTTCAGAAACCTGATAAAAGACAGTTGAAATCAATACTGAACTTATGATCATAATAGAATATCATGAATCAACCCTTAGAGCATCAGAGCTAATTACTGAGTACATCAGTGATTTTGTCTTTTAGTTTATTTACTACAAGGAACTGCTATTACTCATAATTTACATCACAAGTTACCATTTTACAAAACAAACTTTGTTTTAAAAACTGAATGCACTGTTCCTGCATTTTTGGTTTTCAGTCAGTGAACTCTCTGGAATTCTATTTATTTTGGTCAAAGTCATCGAGTTACCTCTAATGGATTACACAATATAATATTAGCAAAATAATAAAGCGCAAACATCAGCAGAAATTGAAAAAAATTCAAGCATTTTGCAAATTGCATTTGAAATCAGCTTCATAAATATGGAATTCATATAATACATAGATGATGGAAACTTTCCAACAAACCCTGGAGTTTACTTTCTTAGAGAATGTACTTTGTACTCATTTTAAACGACACATAACTAATTCAACAGAACACAATCTGTTTATCATATATGCACATTTCAAAAGCAAAATGGGCATCAGAGTTTGAGTATTTATTTTTTTCCACATTTGAACAAATGCTTGACTTTTCAATAAAACATGACATATCTACTAGATGGATATGTACATGCCTGTACCCACAAACAGCAAAACACACACACTTGGGTCTTGATGCTTTAGTGCTGTAAAGTTTTTTATTGACCTTTCTTGAGCCAAGTGCTGGCAACAAACGCACTTCGTCGTCACACATGAAATGGCTTTTGCCTCGAGACAATTTTCGGATGACAAGCCCGTAATTATAGAAATAAATGAAACAACAGATGAGCATTGCTCATACTTCGGAGCCTCAAGAGAGCACAAATGTGTCCACAGTTGGGATGAACCCGCTGAAAGACTTCTTGCATTTGTGCTGAAGCACAGAAGCCCTGCCATATGCTGTCGGTGCCAAGCTGGAGTACAGGCAGCGGTCAGTGGCCAGAACCTTATCTGAGGTTTATTCACACATGAAATAACTGTCCTGACAGATCAATGGGAGTTGGGGTTTGTGTGTTTGGGACTCTATCCTTATGAGAACCTCTTACAGGCAGTTTGTGAAATGAATGAAGGTCCCTTCAATGGTAGAGACCTCGGCAACTGTAGGGAGGCTTTCCCAGTGACCTAATCAGCCAGTTGCATGCACAATTTAAAGTGAATTGCTTTTAGTCAGGGTGGCAGCTTGGTTTTAGGAAAGACAATTTTGTCTTTTAGTGGGTCCTTCAATTAGTTGGTCGTTTGGTCCAGTTTAGTCCAGACCAAAATATGTCAGCATCTGCTTACATGATACGATAAGACACTGAACATTGTGCATTATGCTTGTTTAACATCAGCAAGATAGCATTGTCATTGTGA